TGCAACCAAGCCTCCGCAGGCTCCGGGTGATTCTAGAAGCCTCGCAGGGCCTTTTCTGACGCACGTTAAAACTCATAACCGAGCATTCCCCAATACTCGAATTCGATGGCGGGCACCCCCACTGGCGTCGAGGGCGGCGGTAGGAACTTAGAGATACCCCGGCCTCCTGGTTGCTCAAACCCACCACGTTCAGCCCGCCCCCGTTCCAGTGGACAATGCCCTTGTTCGCCACGGTGCGCAACGTCTCGTAATTCCGGACGCCCATGTTCCCCTCCTCCGTAGTAGCAAGTTTTACTTCGAAATCTGGGGACCAGGTAGCTGTGGGGGTCTTGTCAGGAAACTTGGCCTTCGCCCGATCCCAAGCCTTCCCAAGCATACTGTATCGGGCTTCGGTATCGGGATGCCGTGCAAACCACTCTCTCCCCTTGTACTTGCTCGCCTCCCTCTTCAGAATATCATTCCAAGAATTCTTGACCTCTGTGATGTACTCGGGGGTGATGGGTACTTTTACTGAATAGTTACGGGGGCCTCGGAGCTGAAATTCACGAATGTGGGGTTGGAGATGTGGGTCGAGGCCGGCCTTCAACTTCACAATCATGTCTGTCACCTCGGAGCGCGTGATGCCGTCTGTGTCCACGGTATCGAAGACGCAGAACCCCTGGAGGTCAAGGTGGGTCGGCACCCACTTGGCCGCTGTACTGCCCCCTCCCCTGTCCAGGGCCTTCACGCGGTTGTCAAGGTCGGCCTGCCCCGTCTTCAGATCCTGGACTTCGCCCTTGATCGCCTGGACATCTTGCTGGAGCGGCTCCAAGATTTTGGTTGAGGGACTCCTCCTGCTGCTTCACGAATTCGGCGCTGGCCGCACCCCACCACGCCGGCATTTGCGACATGCTGTAGCTGTGTGAAACAATGCGGACCACGATGGTCACTGTTCAGTGATGTGTCTGGTCCTCCCCATTTCCTTGAAACACGTGATCTGCGGGCCCCATGGAGAGGGGGCTCCCGCCTGGGATTTCCTCGCAAATCACTTCAAATCACTCCAAAGCAGTGCCCCCGCCTGCGACGTCCTGAAGATGCAAGCCTCAGGAACTCAACGGTGACAACGATTAGAAGTTTCAAATCGCCCCAGTGGGATTGAAAGCGTGAAGGGCGGGCCCCATAGGGAGGGGGTTCCCACCTGAGACTTCCTCTCAACTCACTCACAAACAAGGCACCCGCCTGAGATCTCCTGGCCGATTCAAGCCCACCAGCGACGACAATTACGAATTTCGAGCGACCAGCTCGGAACACTAACGTGACCCGTGGGCAGAGCTCCCGCCTGAGACTTTCCCACATGTCGCTCACATGCGAAGCCCCCGCCTGAGCAAAATTCAAGCCTCAGGATCCCAACGATGACGACTGTTGCATGTTTCGAATGGCCCACTCGGATTGGTAACATGACCTGCGGGCCCCATAGGGAGGAGGCTCCCGCCTGAGTCTTCCTCGCGCTTCCATCACAGACACGGCCACCGTGTGAGACTTCCTCAATCATCAAACCTTTGGGGCCCAGAAGTGACGACGGTTACAAGCTTCGGGTGGTCCGTTCGGGTTAATCGCATGATCTGCGGGCCCCGTATTGGGGTGGCTCCCGCCTCAGGCTTCCTCGCAATTCGCTCGCAGAGAGGGCCCCCGCCTGAGACTTCCTCAATATTCAAACCTCATGGGCTCAA